CCTTGCCTTCAAATCTCATGTGAGGACTGAAAGAAAGAGTACAGCAAAAGAAAGATCTCAAACAAAGCTTTTCTCCAATACACTTTCCTCATAGACATTTCTACCTTTAAATTAGAAAAACAATGATTTAATGCACTAGAGCAAGACACATGTGCATAGCTTAATGAGAACATTAAAAATTTGGCATCTTAAATCTTCAAAGAAGAAGATTTTTCTCATCATTAGGCTTCAACTTTCTACCCAGAGACATGCATACAACATTAGAAAAAGAACCATATCTAGACTGATGAAGACCACCACACAGTATAGCAAGGTTCCCTGTATCAACGAAAAACCAAAAGAGTTCTGAAGCATAACATGATTTCTGACTTCATGTGGCAGAAAAATGATTATTTCTGTTTATTGCTCAAAATTTGAAAACAATGGTATGTCTGAATATTTTTTTTTTCATTAACAAACCACTAGACAATCTCATTCAATTGCAGTTCTAGGTTCAAAATGAAACAAAGAAATCAAAACAAGAATTACCTGAGCGTGATGTTGACATCGTAAGAGAAATACAAACCAGGAGTCTTTTCTGCAACACTAAGAAGTCCAGAAAACTCAGTTTCCATCTTCTTCTGCCAAATACTTCACATATTACTATTTGCTCAAGAACAACGGACGCTAACTGAAATCAAAGTATATAAGGCAAAAGAAGATTGAGAATAGACCTGCTCAGCTGGAGAGTTTTTGAGAGAATGGTCACAAGGAAAAACCTTCATTGATGAGACCTTGAAGATTGGATGCCCCAGGTAAGATCCAACACATTCACGTTCAGTTATAACCAATAAATACGACCCTAAAAGCACACAAAGTTATCAACAAAAAAAAATTAATAACAAGCACTATAGTAATGATTGTACTACTCCAGGATCATCAACTACTAAATTAAAAACAATAGCAGCCTTCAAACATTCCATATCACAATATGAACAACAGTTCTGACACACTGACTCCAGGATGACATGTGAGCTCAATTAAATCCAACATCTTGAATATACAAACTTCCACAAGAATTTAACCATACAAAACTAATCTACTACCCACACAATGTTTAAATGGTCGTCCCCAATAGTCTCTTCTATGCTAGGGAGGCATAAACAAACAAAAGAACTAAAGACAATGTTCCATATGTTTAAAAAAAATGCTGATTTGCCTCGTTATCAAAACTATAAATGGCCATGCAGCTATACTAGATAAACAATCACATAAAGATAAAAACACATCCGAAATTTCTTCAAAATATTAGGTTTTGGATAAGAAAAACCTGCCTGCGAGAAGCTTTAACAGCCCGACTACACCAAAAATGGTCTGTATTTTAGGAACACGAAGTGAAGTGCACTGTGGTATGTCATCTGGAAGAAACAAATCAACACTTTTTAAGATGCCGAACTCCAGCTGCTAGACAATATAAAAACTTAAAACTTAACAGAAAGAGAATATCCTTGCAGACTACAGCAGCATGAATTAACCAACCAATGAGCTTTATAGATCCATCCACACGACTGATGGACAAGGAGGAACCAGAAGAACCATCAGTGGGCTCAATAACATATTCGTCCGGAAACTCCCAGAGCCGCAACCTCGTGTAGAGCTTCTGTGCAGGGTCTGCCTTCTCCATCATTATTGAGAATTCAATCACTATAAAATAAATACAGAATTCAAACTGTCAGTTGCTCGGTATCTAAATAACTGATAATGATCCTTTAAATTAGAAACTTTTCTTAAGAAGCTGCAAACCATACATTGCAAAAGTTTAGCCTACCTGCTACAGCATTGGCAAATATTTACTCCTAATAAAAGTGGAAACCCAGCTGAAAATAAATCAAGAGAAAATCCCAAATGGATATAAAGCATTTAGCATCTAAAGTAAACAGGATACTTGAGGCGTCAACAACTAAACAATACCATGCAAAAGGTCAGCATATTCTTTAGCATGTTTTAAAGTTCAAAGCTATATACGCATCCCCTTTCCCCGGGCAGGCCAACATCATTCAAATTATTTCCCAGAAAGAATGAAAATATACCTCGAACTCAAATGAAAATGGATCAAGAAATACCAGATTGATCACAACAATTAAGCATCCAAGCTCGAAACTAAGGAATCAAATTCAGTGCCCAAGTAGACAAGTCAGGCTTAAAACAAACGGGTTATTCTTTAAAATTACCCATCTTCCTTTTAGGCGCCAACAATCTAACCATGCAAAAATTCAGCTTATCCGACTACTGGCAGTAGCCCGCTTTGTACACACAGTGGCATCCCGGGTTGGGCAAGAGCCAAAGAGCATACTTTAATGGAGAAAAAACAGAAAATAGCAACAACCCAGATGCAAAATGCATCGAGAAAAGCCAAATTGCAAATTGATCACGTCAATTGACTAATATCCGCAGATCAAAATTAAAAAGATAAAGAAAAAAAATGAGTACCTGAGTGGAGAAGTGAGGCCTCTCAAGAACGAGAGAGAGAGAGAGAGAGAGAGAGAGAGATCCAATCCAAACTCTTGGAATTAGGAAACAGTCAGAAAGGAGGGAGGAAAGCGAGGGAGAAGTTTTTAAGCACAAAGAAAGAAGCAGTTGAAGAATTTGAACGCTAAAAACGCTTTCTTGTTACGGAATACCGGACCAAATACTACCACCATGGATCTCGAACCCGAAGCACTAAGCAAGGTAAATATTGCAAGAATAGCAAAATAAAAATAAAAAATGAATGATTAGATTGCAGTGCTGTTTTGAAAGGACCAGCCGGCCAGTAATCCATCACTGTTGTTTGAGTAGGCCACCACTTGTCGTCGTGCCTATCCACTTTGAGGGATTCCTTTTTTCCTTTATTTTTTTGTGTGTTTTATTTTGGAAACGTAAATATCCTCATTTACGAGAAAAGGGTCTAAAAATTAAACCGAGATTTTTTTTTCAATATGGGCACCATTCGAATTAATTCTGCTCAAATGTGAGATTGCCAAACTCGTACATTATTTTTTAATTGTATTTGAATCTCCTCATTCCGCTTATTAACCATTTATAATAATTGCTTATGAGCAATTAACGTTCTAAACATATCAATTGATCGTGTTAGAATAGTACATGATTTGTACATCATTGTAAACTAATAAAAATGTCAATATATGATTTATAATCGTTCAAAAAGATTTTTCTTTTACTATCATTGAACCTCTGTTTATATATATACATATACATACATACGCACACAAGTTGTTAAGCTTAAGTTTTACTTTTTTCTCTTTTTATTTTGATTGTTTTTTGGTGCTAAGTTTTTCCTTACTTAAACAAGAACAAAACTTACAAATGCTATATCTACCAGTTGTCTAGCTTAAGTTTTACTCTTTTTTTCCTTTTTCTTCTTTATTTTGCTTGGTTTTTGGTGCTAAAATTCCTTTGCTTTTCAAAGCTTAAGCAAGAACAATGCCATACCGGGAACTGGTGATGGTCATCTATTATTCGTTGAAAATAATCACAAATTGGCGGATCACAATGAATCTTGAAAAATGGATAACCTAGTTGGAAATCTGTTCAACCTATTGAATATAATTGGGCAAATTTCACTTTATCCCCAATAATTTAGTGTTTTTTACATAATCCCCCTATAGTTTCAAAAGTTATACATAACCCCCTCATGATTTGGATTAAAGTATCAAAGTGACGGAAATGATCATTCGTAACGGAGTCACCTAAAACGTAAAAAATGTCCTTATGTAAAGTTGAAAGTTATTTATTAACCAAAGGGGGTTATGTGTATATTTTGAAAATTATAAGGGGCTTATATGGTAAAGTATTAAATCATAAGGGGATTATACGGTAAAATATAAAAATCATACGAGATTAGTGTGTCATGTATTGATAAGGATAATTTCGACATTTTTAGAAATTTCGTTACGAATGACTATTTCCTTCACTTTGACACTTTAATCCAAACTATGAAGGGATTATGTATAACTTTTGAAATCATAGGGGAGTTATGTAAAAAAACTAAATCACGGGGGGTAAAATGTAATTTGTCCAATATAATTTTACAATTAGATTTACAAAAGTTTCAACACATACTACAAACAACTGCCCGAAAACTCTACCTCACACAACTACTAATGCTCAATTTAGTCACGGCAGAATCTTCACTTTCTGTAAAAAATTCCAATTCCTTCTAATTGGTCATTGGTTACAGAGCAGAGTAACTTAGTTTAAAGTTGGATACAAAGATTGAATCGATGCATAATTGTTAGTCTCAATTCAGAGTTTGAAGAAAATTGAGGTAGATGTTGTTATTTGGTAAAAAGGTAGGAATTGCCATTGAAATATGCTACTTAAAAAAAGCCAGAGAGGAGCAAATGCAATGCGAAAAAAAGAAAAGTTTCGATACATCAATCTTTTTTTCTGTGGGTAGTTAAAGGTTGAAATTTCGGAAATTAGAAGTTTTGGGTTCATATTTCTCTCCCCACTTCTTATATTCCACACTTTCCCTGCTCTAAAAAACAAAGAAAAAATAGTACTATTCTTTTTCTTTTCTTTTAGTACTTTTCTAAATCACCACTACAAAAAAAATAGAACCCATAAAAATGTTATATTCACACAAAGTGGGATGCCTAAACCTATTCCAACATGAACTAAATCAAGATGAGTTCCAACGTCATAACCTACATCAGCTTTAAAGTCATGAAACCGTGACTCTATGAACTATAATAATGTCTCATCCACATCTAGAGGATTTGCTAGCTAAATTTCCAAGAATTTAACATAACTGCTTAATTCGGTCCAGTTTAGGCAACACTGGTTTCAACTATAATCAAGTTTGAAATCTTTAAAAAGCTTAATGCCATGAATTTGAGGTTATTACCAAGTTAGCCAAGGTTTCAATTCACTGTGCAGTCTCATTAATTAACGATCAACCAAATTAAGTAATTAACACAATAAATTTGGTTGACAAGCAGCCAGTTTGCTGGATTATAGCAGCTTAATGTTTGCCTTGTAGGCTAAAACTTTGGCAGGATAAGGTATTACACTGGCAATATAAGCAGTAAAACCTTGAAATGATACTGCTTATACACCTGCATCATTGTTAACATTATACTTTCAGAAAATTGGGTGGCTGTAAATCAGTATATCAACCAACCAAATGAACGAACAATGATACATCGATATAAGGCATCGAACAGTAAAAATATCCGTTAATCTTGTACCTAATTGGACTAGCAACAAAAGAAATTATTTCAGCACCCGAATGAATACTGTCTTTACTGCAGGTTCTGTCAACCAGGATGACCATCATACAAAAACTACCATTTTCCCTCTTTTTTCTGCAGCACCTTCTCGAGAAGGGAATGGCGCAGGTTGCAGTAACGTTTTTATATGCTTGGTCTGATACTGAGGCGAGAAGCAAGCTTCTGACCTAGAGATTTGTCAGCCTGCAGCATGTAACATATTTGTAGTCACTTTTCACATCAAGCAAGTATTGCATTTTCCATGACAAGGCTGGTGTCATGAAGAAATTACAAGTTCCCAGCAAAGCACATTGCAAAAGTCGAGAGAACAAGAATGACGCAAAAAACATATGTGACGCATTGAAAGAGGAAAAGAAAGAGATGGTTTACCTGAGACCAGTATGAGATCCAAATACTGCGTATCTCGTAAGTGACCCTTGGGTCAGATAAGGCATCAACCCAGCGACAGATAAAGCGTTCTTGTCTGCAAAGACAATTAGATTGTATCAGGCAGAAAACAAGAGATCACTTGATAACACACCCAATGGACATGAATAAAGAACAAACCTGTCTGGTGCAAATGAACGGTAGCGCTCACCAGGTTGTTTGAAATTGTTTTCTTTTGGAATTATAGTCTGAGATAAGAGCAATAAGCATTTAGACAACAGAGTAGATGCTTAAATTTAATCACCCCATTTCACTCTCAGGAATGAATTGTAACAAGCAGGTTTTAAAAATCCTATGAAGAAGAAAAATGCAACGACTTTATTTGGCATAAACATATAAAAATATTGCAGCTAAGTGTTACAAGACCACATAAAGGCCCAAAAATGAATTACAGAGAAACAAGTTCTAGAAAAGGATGAAGATTGCACAATGCAATATAAACCATATTCCAGTTCAGCTTCTCATCTATAAGGAGCACCAGCAAAAGGAATGTACCTTCTCACGTCTTCCAGTGAGAACTGCAGAAGGAATTGGGTGCATCTCAGCATGCCTGACAGGATCATACCGCGAGGGGAAGTAGTCCACCTGTAAATTGATATCACATCAGATTACCTAACACAAACAAACTAACTTGCAAAATGAGGATCTGATGGGAGTAAAAATGGTAGTATTAACATATATAGATTGCACATATCAGATAACTTTTGAGTGCTACTATAATGAACATTCTGCTACTAAGATTGATGTTGATATGCTAAAATAATAAATCATTTATTGTTTACCTAGTGCAAGTAAAACAATGTGACACAAGGACAAAATGTGCAATCTGTTGTGGGGAGAGAGAGAGAGAGAGAGAGAGAGAGAACCTCCTCATCTCTGTGCATGAAGTTCATAAAACCGTCATGGTGATTGTTGTGGTGAGCACACTTGGGAGCGTTGGCGGGTAGCTGCAAATAATTGGGTCCAAGACGGTGCCTCTGTGTGTCAGCATAGGAGAAGATACGGGTTTGGAGTAACTTATCATCAGAATAGTGTATTCCTGGCACCACAATAGCAGGGCAGAAAGCCAGCTGCTCATTCTCATTAAAGAAATTATCAATGTTTCTGTTCAAAACTAGACGGCCTACTGGCTGCAGGGGCAAGATATCCTCAGGCCAAGTCTTAGTCACATCAAGTGGGTCAAAGTCATATTTGTCTTCATAATCAGGATCAATTGTCTGGATGAAAAGCTTCCACTCAGGGTAGTTTCCAGCTGCTATGGAGTCGTAGAGGTCTTGAGTAGCATGGCTATGATTTGCTCCACCAACCTTAATAGCCTCTTCCTCCAGCAAACTCTTTACTCCACAAGTGGGCTTCCAGTGAAACTTCACATAATGTGCTTTCCCTGCCTTATTGATCAATGTATATGTGTTAACACCAGATCCATCCATGTGCCTGTAATCCTGTGGTACACCTATATCATCAAAGAGGAAAGTGAACATGTGCAAACTCTCAGGATGGTGGGAAAAGAAGTCAACGATCCTCCAGTTTTCCTGAATATGGGACTTGGGATTTGGTTTCAGAGAATGGACCATGTCAGGAAACTTCATGCCATCACGGATGAAAAAGACAGGAAAATTGTTCCCCACCAGATCAAAATTTCCCTGATTAAGAAGAATCACACTCAGAAGTTGGAAAACTCAAATGAGATCAAATGGATAAGCTTAATATCATGATGGAACACTCGTTGAATAACAGGGTTTCAGTTGAATTAACAATTGATGAACAACCACACATTGCCTAAAAATGTTTTGACATGCTTATCTGGGAAAAGATACCAGCTGGTGTGTGTATAAAACACACATGCTTAATGAGAAAAACATTACGGGTCCATATGTATTAAGTGCATAAACATCTATTCCATAATGACTACAGCATCATGAATGGATAGTATTAAATGAACAACTTAAAGATTCCTCTTGATTATAGACAACGTGAAGCAAAATTCTAAGCATGCAGAAACTCGTAGGTTCATGCAAACAGAAACAGCACAAGCTGTGTATCTGCTGCATGATTCAAAATATCAATACTGCCTGAATCAGTAAGACAGCTAATACACTGCAGCAAGTCTGATAAACTAAAGCATATAAAAACAGGTCTGAATGGAGTGTGCTAGTCATAAACTAAGAAGCTAACACTCTGGTAACCCAAGCATTCATTCCTCAGAATAACAATGGCATAGTACCATGTAGAGGCTTATTAAAGTCAACATCAATGAAACTGTTCATTGTTAACAAACATGCAAATTAAGGAGAATAGAGTTAATCTATACTGTTATGCATGTTTACCAGGCAAGAAGATAATATACTAGTATGTATCGCGTAGGCATGCTTACCAAGGAAAGTAAAACTAGTTCCTTAAATACATAATTTATTGCATGCATACTGATGAAAGAAGCAGTTGTCATTCTGTTAATACATCATATTATCACAAAGAAATACTGTAGCTCCAAAAGTACAGTACGTGTTCGTGCTTGTCAATCAAAAAGGGGGAAAATCTCTTTCTTGCATCGAATCAGAAAATAGAAATATGTTTAGAATTGGAGCTACACATGCATCAGTAAACACCCAAAGAACAGCCTGAAATCTGTCTCTGACACAAAATCAAGCAAAGCTGACAACCACTTAAAATAGGATTAGTGATTGTGTGCTAGTGTCTCGCACCAGCAAGCTCCTGGCATTCATGCCTCCGAGCCAAAATACTGATTTGGTATCCTTGTAGAGACCTTTATATTTGACCCACAAAAGACAAAAAGTTGGAGAAAAATGAAGATTGTATAAGAGAAAAGCCATTCGCAATTTACTATATGTCACACCTCTCTGGTGTAGAACTTCACTGCAAAACCTCGAGGATCCCTTAAAGTTTCAGGACTGCCCCTTTCATGTATAACAGTTGAAAACCTCACGATGACAGGGGTCTGGACACCAGGGGTACGAAGGAAATCAGCACAAGTAAGCTGAGATATATCATGTGTGACCTCAAAGAACCCTTTGGCACTAGCCCCTCGGGCATGAACAACACGTTCTGGGATCCGTTCCCTGTCAAAATTGGCAAGTTTCTCCACCAAATGGTAATCTTCCAGAAGAACTGGACCTGGAAAAATTTTGAGAAAAATTCAATGCATCACTTGTTTTCGAATCATTGGTTGTATGTGAAAGAAACAAAATTAAGTGCAGTTAGATGAGCTTATCAACTTTATCATTTTATTTCTTATAATAAATCTAATATTCATGAGTTATGCACTTCTTCAAGCATGAACATAAATGAGACAGTAATATATGGGGCGTCAATGTCAAAATTTGAAATGAAACGTTACATAGACTGCATATCACATGAATTAAGAATTAACATCAATGCATAAATGAGCTCAGTTCAATATAAGCAACCCTCTTCTCATGGAAAAAATGTTTCAACGAGTCAGATCAAGATATATCTTGCTGAAGACCAAAAGCGGAACTTGGAAGCCTCTATAATAAAACGTACAAACATATACCTCACTTAAGATTCTTTAGCTACTCAAATAATTATATAAATGCAGAATAAGGTTTGTTGATTACATACTCTAAGTTGATAATAGGTATGTTTATTAAGAAAAATCAGCTTATATCAGCCTCAATTTTGGCCTTTCCTCATTTATTTTCTTTGCTTGTTTTAGCTCTTCCTCCCTATTTGCAGGTCTTTCATTACAGGATGATAGACGGAAGAGTCTGCACGCTATGAGGATGATTCCATGTATCATTTCTTTTCTCTTAGAAGTCTGAAAAACTTTGCTGCATTAATTAACCAATTTTGGTGGAACACTAAAGTTCAGAAAGAATTACTCTTCATAAAGCCGCAAAATGAATGACATGAAGTCCACAAGCACAAAGACCATGCAAAACCATATGAAGCATAAGACTTACCTCTTGATCCAACTGTCAGAGATGAGTTATTGTTCCAAACAGGAGCCCCGGAGTTTGTAGTAAAGAATGTAGAGTTGTATGCACTTGATGGACGAAACTGCACCACATCATGAAGAAAAGCATAATCACTACTGAGAAAATTTTCACAAAAACATCCAAATGCCACAGCCACTCACCAAAAATATTGGAAACTAAAGGCAATATAAAATAGTATACTACACATTTAAAGAAACGAATCACTATTTCTAGTTTTCCAGCCTCAAAGATGCTTAAAACAATAAAATTTTTGTACTTAAACTGAAGACCCAACTGAGAAAACTTGAAAAGAAACATTTTTGAAGCATTATTGAATGAAATTCTGTACCTTGTAAGGATCCATTGATGACCCTTTTAGTTGAAGAAAAGAAGATACAGAGGAATTTTGGGCTCTAAGTGTTTGAGTACGAACTACGAGGAGGGAATGGCACACGGCCCGTTTATATTCTTCGTCGATGGTAGTTAAGTTTCTCTGGAACAACCCTTACGCCTAGAAAAGTCCACAGACCGTTGGATCTGATGGACCCTTTGATTTTAGTAAGCCATGATCAAGGATTAGGCTTATAAGAAGGGAAAATGATATGTTTCGTCCTTCACATTTCACAAAAATATTCTTTTTGTCTCTTAATTTTAAAATAAAACAAATTCGTCCCTGACATTTAAAAATTAAAGTTATTACATCCCTGAACCAAATTTTCAATCTGAATCAAACCATTCAATAACCCAGTAATAAATTTAGGAAATAGAATTGATAGATAACTCGATCAATTTCATCATATTCACATGACATTTATTAAATCAAAAAAATAAAAATTATAACATAAAAGACCATTCTTTGTCTTGGAATAGTAGAGTTTTTTTTTTGGTAAATCTTTTCATACACCGTTAGTATATCGACTTGCGAATCTAGATGTGTATCATAAATACAAAATTTGATGTTTAAATTTAAATTGAAATGATATGCGATACATAAAATCGTCAGTGTATACAATGATAATATAGGAAAGATTAATCTTTCTTTTTTATGTTATAATTTTTTATTTTTTATTTTTGGGTTCATTAAATTTTACATGAATATCAAGTTGAGTTAACTAAGTGATTTATCAATTAGACCCCCAAAATTTGTAATCAAGTTGATTGGTGGTTTGATTCAAATTGAAATTTGGGTTCAGGGATGTAAGAACTTCAGTTTTTAAATGTCAAGGAGGAAATTGCTTCCTTTTAAAAGTGAAGGATGAAAAGAATATTTTTGTGAAATGTGAAGGATGAAACTGATCATTTTCCCTTATAAGAATAGCAGATTGGTGGGGATTTTCAGGTGTTTGGGTTAATGTTATTATCAGTGCAACTGATACGCCAAACCGATTAGTTTAGTAAATGTATCTTCGGAATTTCTTCCATTGGAATTGGATGGAAATTATTGAATATGTATTCTTCGAGCTTCTTATTCTTGTTTTGATTATTTTAATTAGAAGTTGTTTCTCAAACTTTATAACACTCAATATTTTCAATAAAATCTAAAGAAAAAAATACTACCTCTTTTGAAAACGCATATTTCAGAGTGATAACATTACCTTTAGTTAATAGAAAAAATGACATAACATATAATAATCAAAGCCATAAATAAAAAGAAAATACACAATTTAGTACACGTAGAATAATTTTCTGAGCAAATTGACACAAAAAAATGGAAAGAGTTATCTATGGCTCGATGAATCCAAAGTGGAATGGGTGTTTGTGCAACTAGAGTAGGAGATTATAATTCTCTTGTCTGGACTCAGATAGGCAAATTTTTCGGTAAAAATGACGCCACGGCTACTCTATAGATAACACTTCAAAATTTGAGGCTACAGAAAGTTAGCCAAAATTAAGGGAAAGCTTTAAGAAGTTTTGAGGCTGGAATTTTTGAGGAAAAATAACTGGAAAGTTAGGTCCACAAAATATATTATGTGAATACCATTAATCTTGACATGGATAAGTTTTCAAAAAAAATTCAGAGCAGCCAGCACATTTGGTCCATTATCTATTTTGTCTCGTATTATTCTGCAGCAATTTATTGCTTAAGAATTATGGTGTAATGGGGGAAATGAAGGGAATTGGGGCACGTGCATACAAGTGAAAGACTGATTTTGCAATGTCCATTTTGTACCTTATATAGAGGTTTAGAGCATATTCTAAGTAGAGTTTCCCAGCAACAGTCCAGCTTACTAACCTACACGTTGCATTTGAATGCCATGCCATGCACGTATGGTAGTATATAATACCTCATTGATTGGCACCAAAGAAATTGAACCCACCTTCAATCAAATGGTAGTGTATTAGGTCTAGAGTCCAAAAGAATATTATTGAGCATTACATACATAATTTCAGTGATTCCATTTGATTAAATTGTGCCATATCATTCTGAAAAAAAAAATGGTTTGTTAAAAAAAAACATAATGCACTAAGATTTTAGACTTCAGTTTTCAGATTTCAGTTTTATCAAACGCACCCAATTTACGCTGCAAAAAAAAAAAGTTCCAAAGACTTTATTGATAATAGCTTTTTTTTTGGAACCCATCCTGGATAGAGTTATACTAGTTTCCTTCCACCAAAATACTACTTCGCTTTACAAAATTAACATTAATAGAGATTTGAAAATATTATATACAACATGTAATCAAGTAAAACACCAAAAAAATTAAACAAAAAGGAAAAACAAAACAAAAAAGACGTGAAGCTAAAGAGATCAAATCATTCGAAACCAGAATAATTGCATTACAGACTAAAGACTTTGAGAGAAATGTGTTATACATTTTGGACAACATGAGTCTTTTTCTAATTGGAATACCGAAAAGAAAAAAAAAAACAAGAAGAATAGAAAATAATAACAACACCGCAACAACAACAACAACAACAGAGAACAACTGATCGAAACCAAAAGAAAGCATGCAAAACAAAGAACTTTGATCTTCTAGTCATTGCCATCATTTGGTGGAGGAGAAAGGTTCAAATCAGGCAGCTCCGGCAGGGGTTCCACATTGAGATCAATCCCAAGAGGAGCTCTAGTTGTAGCTCTAGCTCCTTGGTCAGCTTCAGCTGTTGCATGATCTGGTGGAGCCTCCCCAGACAGCTCCCCTCCACCACCAACGTCTGCTGCAACTTCCTCATCGTCATCATCCGTCTCAGGATTCTGCAGTAATCCGAGATGCATCAATTCTTCCCTAGAGTACACTGGAGGAGGAGGATTAATCCTCAAGTGCTCGAGAAGGGCTCTTTGTGTTGTAAACGAACTAAAACAGAAATAGCAAGGGAAGTTTCCCTCTTGGTCGAGGGCTCCAGCGGAGTGATCAGGGACTTGGATTGGGACGTTATCAGCCGGCAAATCCACCTGATCACCAGTTGGAGGTTGCTGGTCACTAGCAACAGGGCTACTTTCAGTATCCCTCGGTGGAATTTTTGGTTGACAAGGGTTGTTTTGAGCAACAGAGTTTGTAGGGCTATTCTCCATGATGGAGCAGTGATTTTGTAAGTGATACAACCAACGTATCCCTCGAGGCTTATTTATAGTCAAAAAATTGGACGGAGATTTGCTAAATTGGTAGTTATTAAATTACTACCAGATCTGCCAATATGTAGTTAAGATGTAAATGATACTGCTTAGTGCTTTTCATTCAAGTTGACTAATTCTGGAGGGTTTGCATGCATGGCATGCATTTATGGTCGCATTTTGAAATTAATGGGCCTAGATTTATTTCCTTGTAAGAACGAAATTAATAAAGACCAAGAAAGTCATTATTGGAGCTTATTAATGCTTTCCATTTGGAGCCTATACGTATTTAAACTTAGGGTTGAAAGAGAAAATCAATTTATTTGATATTCAAATTGAGTACGGTTCAATAAGAGTTCATTTCAGAGGATCACTAACTAATCAAACCGAAATGAATAGCATTTTGAGTGTGTAAATTTTTAAATTCAACTCAACCTTATGCTAATTTGAGATTTGCGTAAAAAATTTCAGGCTACTCAAGTTTGAATTGATAAAAGTATATTTGAGTTTGATCCAATAATTAACAAGCTTAATTTAAAAAACTTTGGCAAATTGAATTATTGCTCAAATTATGACATTGGCAACATAAGAAACTCTTTAGACTGGATTCAAATGGGTTAGATCCAAGAGTTTATAGCGCAATATGTTCAAAATTGAAATTTAAGATGCAAAATTAGAATTGAGTATAAGTTATTAGGTGAATGCACAATGGAATTAGTCCTTCAAATTTGAATCAATACTCAAAATCTTAAGGGTTTGCATGACATTTATTGTCAAGATTTGAAATTAATGTGCTTAGATTTTTTTCCTTGTAAAAACGAAAATCATAGGGGGATAACAAAGTCAAAGTTGGACCTTGTTAAATTTTTTGGTCTGAATTCTATAACTAATCCAAGCTTGAAGATAAGCTCATTTACCTATTCAATATCAGTTAAATAGGGTTTAAAATTACTTTCTTTTTTGTTTATAATTCTTTGGGAACAAAATACTTTAGTAATTCTAACTATTGCTCTAGCTATAAAATTTGAGAAAAAAAACACAGTATTTTTGGTGCGGATAGTAAGATATCATTGGATTTTTTAGTGAAGTATGACCAAATTGTGTTAGTTGTATAGCTTATGAAATTTATAAAAAAGTTTATATTGACAACTTTTCAAAAATAAAAAAATTGAGCTGAAGAAAGCATTAAAAGAAGATTATATGTGTGAATCAAAGAATAAATTGCACCATCGTTCACCAAATGTTTTCAAAATTTCATCTAGTTTACTATACTATTTTATAGAGGTGATACTGAACCAAGTAGTTCGACTCAAGCTCGCGAGCTACTCAGTCAATAATTCGACTCGAGCTTGTTTTGACCAAGCTCGAACACTAGTTGGATTACTTGTTTAAACTCATAAGTCGAGTTTGAATTCCAATATTTTGTACTCGAAGGCTTGATGAGCCTAATCGAGCTTTTTACAATATATATTTTAAAATTTTTTATATTTATTATTGTGAAATATCGATAATATCTTTTATTTAAAATTATATATAAAATATTAATTTCTATTGCGTGAGTTTTATTAGACTTGAATAGGCTCAATTGAACTCGAATAGGTTCGATTGAGTTTGTTTTGACTTGATTAGATTTAATTAAACTCGAGTTTGAGTTCAAGCTCGAGTAATGTAAATTGAAGTCGAATTCGAGCTCAATTATTTTATCTCGAGTTGAACTCGAGTAATACACTACTCAAATTCAACTCGATTCGAATGCACCCCTACTAACTAAGCTCCTAAAAGTGATTAATTGGATCATTCGATCTTGCTCGGTTATTCATGACACGTGATCTCACACTACATTTGTAGAGGCATTTTTGTCACTTTATAGATGAAACATAGTATATTGGACTAAATGAAAAA